ACGGGTGGGGCGGGCGGGGGCCGCCCTATTAGGTTACATTCAATTAACTCATCGCCCCTGGAAAGAGAGATACGCTCGGTCGACCCCCGGCGGCGCGGACAGGCTCCAATAATTAATTATAGATATAACGGAATTACTGCGGGTCGCGGTCCAATCCCTTAAACCTTTCATCAATGATTACGAGTCATTCGTTACAAAATTCGGAATCCAGGGCTTGGGCGTGACGCGTGGATCAGGCCGAGCGCGTAGAGGGCTCTGGACGAGAAGTGCGCGCGCGCACACTCCGCCCAGCAAGTCCGCTCCACCATCAGCCCCACCCGCTGCCCTTCAACGATTGGTTAGCACTCAGCAGTCGACCTACATAGCGCGGACGGTTTAAGGCGGAAACCGCTCTAAGTGGAACGGCAGCCTCTGACTAGGGCATGGATGCCTTCATCTTGAGACTGTGACCGAAGCAAACCATCGTATGTCCTATGCTGCAGATCAGTAATTAACGCGTAGATACTTTAAGGCGTCAGTCGGTTTCGAATCAGTCGAAAGGGAAAATAATGTAAAATATAATCCTAAATAGTCGCAGATGTTTATATCTGCCATAAGATGAATATTTCCTGCCTGAGGGGTGTGTCTCCTTCCACACTCCGCTTTCGGTGTCTTAAAGTTCATCGACACCACGAAGACTCTGCTGTAGGGAATATTTAAATTTATTTTAATTGTATAATAACAAACATTTCTTAATATAGTGTACAGTATTTACAAGTTTAAATGATTTGCTAAATATCATTAAAAATCAAATTCCCCCCTGGGTTATTAGGTAAAATAATGAGTGCACAGAACAAAATCCTAATTCATTTTAAAAAGTTTACAATGAAGATGTCAGAGATTTCTTGACTCCGTTACCACAAAAGCTCCTACATTTTAATCGTAATATCCGAGATAATCTGCACAATCTCAAAAGTAGAATCCTTGAACAATGAACTATATTCTGAAGTAAATATTAGTTGACCACGAAGAAAGGGTACAATGTTCCAGCCATCAAAACTATCTCAGAAACAACCACCAAAGAAATAAAGGCAAACATAATACCAACACAAAGATTTAGAATAAAAACTCTAAGCCCTATGATTCCTGTAGCAAACCACATTTCGCAAGTACTACATAGAACTACATCCAAAGAGGTTGCGCCCTTCGAATGCCACAAAATCTATACACTCTCTGGGAGTTGTGGACATTAATATATCTCCCTTCAAAACTAAACAATGCCTCAACACCTCCCTAACTTCTATCGAATAAAAACAGACTGATACAGCAGAAAAATCAGCGTGCAATGACTCCACACAGCACACAGCTACTACTACACTAGGGTTACAACCTCAGCACAGGGCTACCTACACAGGGCTATATCCACATAGGAAAAGCTCTTTGAATTACAAAAGCACTAAATACGCCCGCCAGGAGTCGTGGCTGCCGCGACACGCGGCCGGGCCACGCGTTCCTGCGGCGGAGGAAGACCCAGCGCGACTTACTCCGCGGTTATTTACAGGCCCAATTTTTCACTCGCCGCCGCGCGCAGCGCCCCACGCGGCGGTCGCGGAACTTGCACTGCGTTGCGCTGCGCTGCGCGCTGCCCGCCCGCCGCGCCGTCCGGACGACCGGCCGGCCGCCCGGCAGCCGGGAAATGGACGACTTTAATCATACATTTTACGTACGCTGCCACCTGTGGGTGGGGTAATATATTATTCGCGCGGCGTAAAAGTTGCATGGGCGGCTGAATAAATCATAATTAGCCGTGAGGTGCATTCCGACTCGCAGCGCCTAACGAATGCCCCGGGTAGACGAAGTTACACCGTGTACCGTAAATGGAGTTACAGGCTACGTCCGTGTTTCATTATAGCTATCGAAAATGTCTTTGTAATAAATGTTTTCTCTGACCATTAAGATTAATTTCGCAATTCATAAAAGTATATATTTCAAGTAATTTTGTAACAAGAATGATCTTCCACTGTCATCGGAAAACGGTCAGTTGCTGTAGGGTAGATAGAGATAGGGCAACCAAATGTTTATTATATGTTTTTCAAGTTTGTTCTTATTAGAAACATCCATCACTTAATTTGCCCAACACTAAATAATCTTAATTAATTATTATTTTTTTATGATTATATTAAGTAAGATTAAGTAATGATATATAAAATCTCGCCTATACTCGATACTATACTTGATAAATAATAAATTTTATACGCAAGTCTTCAGGTATATTAATAAGAGTGGCCTATTGTCGCAGTGCCAATAACAACCCAGGCGTCGAGAAACGAAATTTAATATTGACTAAAATCTGCTTAAGATACCATTATTTCGTAACGAAAGCTCCTTTGAAAAGCTATTGAAATCTTCAATGCAACCCTCATTCCAAGCAATAAGAAAAGAAACGTATTGTGCGGAGAAGAACAAAACCAAGCCAAGGGTTTCGAATCTCAATTCATCGCGCAGCCGGCAAGGTACGAGGTAAAACAATGAGGGTACAAACCCACTCTCTCGAGCAAGAAAAAGCTTTAAGCGCATAAACGAGCGGCAAACAACGGCTATCCAGATTATAAGCGGTACAAAAGGGCTGCTATAGCGTCAATGTGCCTCGCTCACCCGCATCCGCAAATCGGCTTACCGAAAGCCGACATACGATTCCGAATTGCTGTAAGCCGCTGCCAGGGTGACAAAGGTCGATTCGAACGCACGATCGAGCTTGCCAACAGGGGACTCGCTTCAGATCGAAATGATAGGCTATCGAACGACCTCACATGGCTGGAGAGAAAGCTTTTTTTTCGATATCGTTTAAAGCTGCAAATATCGATATTTTTTCAACAATCTCTAAAATACTGTCGATAAAGAGAACACCAAAAAGTAAAGAGTACAATTTACATGGTTTTAACAAAACACCTTTTCGGCTAATTTAATTCCATTTAAAAAATAAATTTGTTTATTGCATGTTGATTTGAGAAAATATTTTTTATTTACAGCTCCTTTGATTCTTGAAACGTAAACACCATGACCACCCACAATAAACGTCAATGAATTGAATTCACAGTTGTTGTTTTTCTGTCCTCGAGATTTAAATACGGGGACGCTTTAATGAAATTAGCTGGTTTGAAGATTTGCCTAACATAATTTCCTATGACTAAAAAGCACAATTAAAATCAGTTATTACTTATTTCGTTTACACGCAACATAAAATTTTGAACGAATATAATACATAAAATTTGAGAACAACAGTGCTTCAAAAAATACAATCAGTGGCGATATACTTGTATTGTGAAATTGTACAGGGCGCAATATGACCTCCAAATCAGTGAATACACAACTCTACTCATGTTTATGTTTAAACTGATCACGAAAGGTTGTGGTATTTCCGTTGTTAGTTTGTTCGCTGTCTTGCATGAATGGACCAATAAGTTCACAGGATTGTCAAGGGATTTGAGTAAATATTACACGAAACTCTTATGGGGGTTGCAGATAATACAAAAAGAAGTGCAAATTCTAGGTCGGTGAAACATATTTTATAGTTATTTACAACTTCTAACATTCCTTCCACAACTAACCACCTACAACCTATTAAAACATTAGAAAACTAGACTAAAATAAAAATGTATTTGCCCAAATATGCATCCATGTAGTACAGAATCTGCTCATGTAAATATTTTTCTGAGATGATCAGGGTCCGAAAAGTTTGGAATTTTACCCTAGTAAGATTAAAAACATGAAACAGTTTTGAAAAGTGCGTTATGTGAAAGAAAATAATGAATTAAAAAAATAATAAATAGTTACTGAAGTCTAGTTCACGGGGCTTCGTCAGGTGCATGAATTAGACTACATAGTTTTTTGTCAACATTTCATAAAATAGTACATTTTCACCATCACGTATTGCAACTATAAAACAAAAAACACGATAATGGAGCTCCATATTCTTGCTAGTGTTATAAAAGTACATGTGTTTAACCACACTGCTCGATGTTCTTCACTTCACGTGTGATGTACAACTTGCAAGGACATGCAGCGTGTATACGAATGTTCGAGAAGTACCTTAACAAATGCGCCATGAGCCTCACGCAAATGGGCCATGAATCTCTCAGAGTCACTACCCTGAGGAAACCTACGATATGACAGGCGAAACGTCGGCCTCTCAGCCAACGTTTCGCTTGTAGCCAATGTTTCAGCCTCGCCTGTCATACCGCAGGCTTCTTCAAGATGGTGAATCTCTCAGAGTCACTATCCTGAGGAAGCCAGCGATATGACAGGCGGAAACGTCGGCCTTTCAGCCAAAGACGCGGCGTCACCTGGACAGCCGAGAAGTCTTGAACTCCTGCCGCAGAATCTTACGAGTACGTGTAAATCGCCTCTCGGAGTTGGAATGCTATCCCACTGGAATGCTGGAATGCGGGCCCACTCACCGGCGAAGAGCTGGAGGCCGCCCGCGAGGCGCGCCGTGCCGGTGTGCACCACGTAGGTGATGCAGCAGGCGGCCGTGGCGGTGATGGCCACCAGCAGGCTGAGCGCCGCGCCCACTCCCACCAGCACAGTGCTCGCCTGCCACCACGGCGACGGGATGTCCCAGAACCTGAGCACACAAGCCAAACATGCCGTCATTCCCTCGTTACGCATCGGCCGCTTTGGGGCATTGCACACACTTAACGCGGCGCTAAAGGACTGCCTTTAATGGATTTCGGGAAGCAACGGACTAACATCAGAGAAGACCACTCTGTTTGATAGTAAGTACAGGATTACACAAAATGATACAAGTTGGGCATGCAGGAGGTCGATCGAAGATTATCACTTATTGCCAAAGAACATGTGATGGAAAAGTTCATGTAACGAAGTTATACATGTGACATTAGCTCCTGATTGGTGGGCTCTGTTGTTACCTCTGTTCTTTAGTAGGTCACGATCTCACGCAGTAGTTTCATGTACCTTCTGAACAACAGTGCGTGATGAGTTACGAACTTTAGAAACAAATTCTACACATGTTATTTCATTATTTCAATTTCCTGGCACATGATCAATTTCATTACGTAAACATTTGTTACATTTATTGTCAGACATTCTGTGGTGTCCTACTATATTAACTGAGTTCTATTTAGCGTGCATTTAGAATACATAAATATTCTAAATTGACAAAGACGATTTTATGTGCGATGGTACAATTAAGAAAAATTGCATTAACAATTCCAATAAAACGAAATTCATTTAGTACATCATACATACGCATTTAATTTTCCACAATTTGTTTTATTATAGTTTTTTTGTTGCGAAATTGCTGTTTTCTTTCAGAATTATATTAATAGTATTTGGAATTATATTAGATCATATTAAATTACTGAAATTATCACACTTTATGTACTAAAAATAATTAGTACATTTTCTTCATTTAATGTATTTCCCTAGAGTATAAATCTAACTACATACAGTTCATTAAACTGAATTAGTGCTTTGTAACATTGTGACAAAGAATTATAATTCACTGCCACCATTCAATTAGTAATAATAATAAAAGGATCGCGGGTTCAAGTCTCGCCTAGAGCATGGTTGTGATGTGTGTCTGTTTGTTTTGTGGGACTATTTCATCATTCATCATGACATTTCACCCCATCCCCCAGGGCTAACTAGCTGGGGGTGTAAAAATGGGATCGGTGTTTAAATGCTGATCTCCCAATAGAAACTAATGTGCACCTATCCCGATATTCAAGTGGCCCGGTGGGAGGACCTTATCACGTGGACCCATGATGTCCGATTCGCGAAACAAAAAAAAATATCCATGAGATAATGATAAATAGATTTTACATTTGAAAGTACAGGCAAGGGAATACTTAGTCCATCACAAATGGACTATTACCTTTTTTTAAGAGGTCTTTTGTTTCTTTCCAGAGAAGGGTTCGTTTAGGAACATTCTACATTACTGTTCCATGAACTGCGGCTTCTAAGACTCGAATTTCATCTCTAATCATATTATTCAGCTGAATAATGGTGCTGAGCTTAGTGACGTAAACTTTTTTTTAACGTAAACCGCCAGAAAATAATCAAGGGGCGTAAAACCTGGGAAACGATCTGGTCATGTGAATCTCGAATACTTGGAAAGCACCTGACACAGAAAAGTCTTTTAAAGGAGACAGAAGCACGATCCAACATGATCTGATGTTGAGCACCACCACCCAGGTTTCATTGGTGCCATTCTGATTTTAAACAAAACGGTTCAATGATATTTTCACGCGTTTTAGGCGGTGCAATTGTTTTTTATGCGTTTCCCGGATATATTCACTTGTTATATCACGCAATTTTGTGTATTGACTAACTATTGTCTAAAATTGATAATAAAACTTAGATTTTCAAAGAATAGCTCCAGAATCATGAAACTGTATTCTTTGTAACAATGACACGTTTTAGTGAATCTTGCGAGAAAAGAAGTAGCAGTTAAATTGAAGTCATTCACCATTTAAACAGATCCCTAACTTTGCGCCACCAGTACTTTAATTTGTCAACTTGGTTTGTTACACACTAGTTAAGTACACAGGTGTTTGTGAAAATTTCAACACCCAGAAGGAATGGTCTAAATCAATTAAAAATCGGTGGATGTGTAGAACAGTGTATCCATAAGAAGTGATTAAATTTGCTTAGAGATAGCGTGCATGTTGGCCTAGCAGCGTCCTTATCTTTGTGACAGGTCTGGTCAGTGTTACGCTCCACTCGGTGTAAAGCCGTCAAAAAAGACTGCAAGACAAGCAAGTAATATTCGATATGCCCTGTCGATGCCAAAATGCGGTATATTAGAACCTCAGTGAGTTCGAACAGTGTTGAATGATCGGACTTCAAAACGCGGGTTTCTCGTACCGTGACAGTGCGGCCATGACAATGCTACGACAGTGATGCTTGTATGGAACCAGTGGAGAGAAGAGCGTCGAACACAGCGACGAGCGGGTACTGAACCACACAATGTGACCTCTGCGCGAGATGACCGCCATCTTGTCCGCAAGACCGTAACCAACAGAACGGCGTCGTCCACAATGTTGGCACGACTTTGGAACACTGCAACAGTAGTGATCATGTCTTCATCGAGGATTTGACACCGTTTGGTGGTACTGTGTCGGATTTGGTTGACCAGAAACCATCAACGCTTCAGACTGCAGTGGGCACGTGAACATGTTCACTGGTGTGCTGTGTGGTAAAATGTAGTGTTTTCGGACGAGTCATGCGTCAATTTGTGGAAAAGCGATAGCCGCGTATGTGTTTGACACTATCATGGTGATCGCAATCTGCCAGCCCGGCTTGTTCCTCGCCAATAGGGACAACCCCCAATGTGATGATTTGGGGAGCCAATGGTTACAATGTGCGATCTCGCTATATACCTATTGAACAGCAACCCCTACATCAGGAAGGTTTTGGGGCCAGAGGAACTGCCCCTTCTGCAAGCGGCTTCACATGCCATATTTTAGCAGGACAATGCCCGACCGCATATGGCCAGGAATGCGCATGCTTTCCGCCAAGAACGACGGCTACCAATGATTCCCTGACCTGCACAACTGCCTAGCATATTGCCCATTGAAAATGGCTGAGATATAATCGGTCGACAACTTGATCGTTCTGTCCCCTCTGCAGCCACTCCGAATGCTTTGTAGAAATCGTGTTGCAGGGTGTTCCCCAGTAGCATATCCAGGATCTCTTTGGATCCAAGCCAGTCCAAGATATCTAAATGCTCTGATGGCAGCGCGTGGCTGTTTTACACCGTAACAAAATACTCTAGAGCAAAATGCATTTACAGTTCTGTAATCCTTAAAATTTGTATTGTGATATTCCTAATATGTGGAATCAATTTCATAGTAGTAGTATGTCTCTTTTTAGGTGTAGGTTTCAGATAATAATGTAATTCTTAATCAATTCAGTTGATGATAGTCTCGGATAAAGAAAATAGTTTCTAGTAACCCTAAGTATGTATCGCTGCAAATTTTGTTAAGATATTTGTTTTTACGGTATTACTTGTACTGTATTTATTGTTGCAGGTGCTATCGTTAAAATTCGTTCAGCGCCTGTGGAATCAGACAAATGGCAATTCGCAGTACACGTGTGTACTGTAAGGTTGCATAACTGCGCCCGACTTGAGAATGTGATGTAAGAAAATAAAATCAATCTCAACCGAAAATATTAATTATAATTTTACTGGAATCCTTACTTCATCATTGTAATATCAATATAGCAATTAAATTAATAATTATTATAAGTTTTAATAACTGTTACACAAATTGTCAAAAAACGGATACATTATTTTCTGTAAACAATGTTTTAGGTATGCGAATATTAGAAAAATATTAGATGCATAATGCTAAGTGCGTCGATTCTGGAGTACTTTCCCAAAATTGTTGCTCCTTCGAATATTCATAACTATTATTGAACAACTGGCCTCTCTAACAGTATTTATCGTAATGACTGACTACCTGTTAGGTTATAAAGTCATTTTACGCTAAATTTTGGAAACAATATTTTAGCAAAACAGAAAATGGTAAATTCCATCACTCATAAATTTAATTGGTAACATGTATATACTATAAATTGAAGAAATCAATAATGTGATCAAACAAATAAATTTTAACGACTATTCGAATCGTACCTTATTTCTGCATGCTTCTTTATTTGCTCCATTACTGTTAAATAAAAAAAGCAATAGTATATATTAATTTATTTTCCAAACACAGAAAACAGGATCAAAATAGTTAATGTTCATATTCTATAAGAAGTCTTTATAGATTTTATTTTATTGTTACAAACACACATACTATATTCATTCTATAAGTGGTCTGTAAAAACGAGACCAATTACACATGTCTTCCCATTAATTTGGAAAGGAAAGGAAAAGAGCACGGATAGGTATTCTTCACACACGCTAAACGTAGCGTGAAAGACGAAAAAATTACACCACAGCAAGACGTGAACAACCATTGCCTTTAATCAACATCGATCAGTTACTTTCCACCAAACACAACTATTTCCCTTTCTCCCACACACACACGAGACTGGGGATGTTCTTTATCAATATATAGTGCGTTGTCATGGACGGCTCAAGATGACCGAACCTAAAGACCATCTCAAAGCAATCTGCAAAAACCAGGACAGACAGATTGCTTACTCTGCAGTATGACAACCTCACGGACTGGCTCCAACAGCCGTGATACCCGAGTGTTACAAAGAGCTAACTGCTCCGTCCCCCAAGGACGAATATAAACGTTCTGGCGGAGGAGTTGAAAACCCTCCGCCCCCGCCTATTAATTCCGCGAGGCCCCGCGGCCCCGTAAAGCGCAGGCCGCCGACCCGGGTCGCGCCCCGCCCCTCCCCACCCCCCAGCCCGCTCTTCTCCGCCCCGCTCCACTCGTGGCCTCCCGACGGAAGCAGCTCTTGGGCTTCTACGAGGTCGCGCTTACGACCGCCCGAGCGGCTATGACGTCACCGCCATGACCTCGCCTCACCTTCGAAGTCGCTCACAAGAATCACCGCCACTTCATCACACGCCGTCATGCTCTCGGAGATCTCCATCCCTCCGTGTTGTCAACCATTATCATCACCACATTCTGCTCCCGTCATCGCCATCTCTGCCAGTTTCACAACAACCTCAACGTCCCGCCCCCATCAATCATCGTTGCATCAACAAACAGTCAAAGTTTAAGTTTTCCGTGTACCATGCCATCCATGCCATGCCATGCCATGCGACTAGTGACTACTACCACAACCAGCATCTCAACATTCACCACCACAATCATCATTACTATGCCACAATTACCGAAACTTCATCACTAGTAGGCATCACCGATGGCGCGTTCACTTCGTAAGCAGCAGGTTTGTATCGTAAATGTCGTCCCAACCCATCACAGATATCGTCATCACTTTTGTCACGAAACGGTCACTACCACTGTCCCCGTTACTGTCTCCTCTAAAACCATCACTACCAACACCACCTCATCGGTTTCACGTTATACGACAAGTAATAGCTGGCCCTTCCTGGCAACTACTTAGACCACAGAGCAGTAAGTTTAAATGTAAATGAAGAATGGGAAGACTTAAAGCAATTGATGATAAAAAGTAGCAACAGAAGTTTTGGTAAAAAGAAGTAGAAGATCTAAAAAGAAAGGAATACGAATATGGAATGATGAGATAAAAACCATCATTGAAGATAAGAAAATGGCTTATCTAAAGTACTTGCAAACACAATCCGTACAAGATAGGATAACGTATAAGCATAAATGTGCATTAGTTAAAAGAGAAGTTCGAAAATTAAATAGAGAAAGTTGGGATAGATACATAAGTGAAATCGAATATGATATACATGGAGCCCAAAATAAAGCGTACAAAATTCTAAAACACCTAAATAAAGACGAAAAAGACACTGTACAAATAAATAATATACCCGAAAAGCAATGGCTGAGATACTATAAGGAATTGTGGACTTCAAACACACAAGAAAAAAAACTCGCAGAACAAGAATTTGCAAACGTAGACCCATTAGAAATGAACGAACTCGAAGAGATATTTATAAATTTAAAGAACAAAAAATCTCCAAGTAGCGATGGACTGAATATATAATTATTCAAGTATGCACCTTCACAAATCAAACTAAGGTTTCTCATTATACTAAATATATGTTGGAATACATATCAAATCCCCGAAGAATGGAAGAAAGCCATTATACAACCAATATTTAAGAAAGGAAATAGACAAGACTGTAGCAATTACAGAGGAATTAGCCTATTAAACTCTGCCTACAAAATCTATGCCAAGATAATTACTAGGAGATTAAATAAAATAAGTAATAACCTACTTTCGGAATTCCAAAATGGATTCCGAAAGGGACGTTCATGCGCAGATAGCATACTTATTGTACAACAATTGATCGAGAAAAGACGCGAATATAACCTTCCTACCTATATCTTGTTCATAGATTTTGAAAAGGCCTTGGACAAAGTCTCTCGGAATAAGTTATGGAGTATTATGCGTAATAGTGGATACCCTAGCCACATCATAGAAACCATCAAAAGCTTATATTTTAAAACCACTATCGGTATTAACAAAGGAACAGCGAACAACCTAACTGAATATACAAACCAAGGAGTCAAACAAGGGGTGCCCCGAATGTCCTTTTAATATATGGTGTGTGGTATATATTATATAATGATATATATATATATATAAAATATATATATTATACACATACACCACATATATTAGAAAGGCGGGCTGGACATCGGGCACCCTTTGTTTGACTCCTTGCGTTTGTATAATATATATTATATATATATATATTATATATATATATATATATCTATATCATATTATTCAAAAAGAATGGCCAAAGTAAAACTAACCCCAACATTTTAAAATAAAGCAATACAATTTTGAACACTATGAACACTACTTATTTGCAGATGACCAGGCCATTTTTAGTACTTCAGAAGACGACCTACAGAGAGCTGCCCATTACCTCGAGTTATCAGGGAAAAATTATAACTTGAAGATATCAACCTCAAAAACGAAAACAATGGCATTCCAGGGGAAAAACCATATCAGATGTAAAGTAGTGATAAACTAAAAAAGTATTGAACAAGTAAACAACTTTAATTATTTAGGATTTAACATTTCATACTGCGACAAAAAAAGATATAAACATAAACATCCAAAAATTCCAGAAATTGTGCGGTACTATACGCAAAGCACTAAGACAAAAGACCAGACAAGACACCCAACTAAAATTTTACAAAACTATGGCAGTCCCAATGCTAACTTATGGATGCGAAAACTGGACAGTCAATAGGTCAGACAGAAGAAAGATCGAAGCGGCAGAAATGAGTTTCCTGACACCATCAGCAGGATATACACTACTAGATCATAAGAGAAATGAAGACATCAGAGGTGAACTACAGATCTCCAGCATACTAGAGTAGATCGACTCAACGAGGAAGAATTGGCTCGAACACCTAACCAGAATGCCACAAGAACGGCTTCCCAAGACTATCCTCAAATACAAACCAAAGGGGAAACGATCCAGAGGCAGACCCCACACAAGATGGAAAGAGACTCTTGAGAGCGGAACGGGCCACTAGGCCCAAACCTTGTTGCTGCTGATGATGATGAGCTGACCCTTCCGATGTGTGGCAAGTCAACGCAAGACCGTTGCTGTCAAGAACTGCATTAGATCCACAAGGTTTACGATGAATACTGATCTACGTTAAAGATGAAATTCATAGAGAAAACTTAAACGGATTGTCAAATAACAAATTTCGAGGAACGAATAAACTTTTCAAACATAACTCTTCGAAATATAGAATAAACTGTACATTCCTCTCGGCTCTCGAAACTTGCAGATAGAGATAGATTTTACATATACAAATACTTTATATATGACTATCTATATACGTGAAAATTGATGATGTGATGTTTAAGATCGATGAACTCTGACCCCGTTTGACAGATCTCCATGAAAATTCGAACATGTACACGTTACATCACGTAAACGTTTTATTAAGCAGTTCACTCCACTAGATGGCGTTTCAGTTCAATGCAATTCTCATACAACCAAGGCTTCATTCTTAGTGGACTTTGCCATGTGACGTGAGGCGAGGCCGAGGACGACTGATGAGCGAACGACGCGGGAAGGAGAGTCGATAGAGGAGAGAGAGACAGACAGAGAGAGAGAGAGAGAAGTGACAACAGAAAGTGAGAACAAGAGAGGAAGGAATTGAAAGACAGAAAAGAGAATGAGGGAAAAGGGTAAAGGATAAAGAGATAAGAAAAGATAGAGAGGGAAAAGTAGAAAGAGGGTTAGAGAAGGAAAAGAGAGTGGAGGAAATGAAACGGCAAATAAGAGGAAAAGGAAAAAGAAAGAGGGAAAGAGTGAGTAAGAAGGAGAAAGAGAGAGAGAGAGAGAGAGAGAGGGAAGGCAATAGAGCTCGACAACGTCTGCTGGGTTCTGCTAATATTTTGTCTATTACTAATAACCATTGTTCCACTTGTTTCTTGCGTAGTGCTTATTTATTACATATTTATTACGTAATTAGTAGAGTAATCCATCATTATTTATTGGATTTTGATAATGAGCAAAAGTCGCTCAACTACCGCATTTCCTTCAACATTATCACAGGCTACTATCCCCTTGATCAAAATAATTACCGCCCACAATTTATTGATACCTCATAAAAAACGTGATAATAGAAATTGAAGCACGATTGACATGTAATTGCAAAACGTGAAAATGGCCATAATGATAAAGTAGGTATCATAAGTTCAGCTTGGTAATGCGATAAATGTAAAACGTGCAGCACATACCTTCCATTAATAAATCATATGGCAAACATTCGCTTAACGAAATTGAGAGGCACTTCTGGAATACCAATGAGTATTTAGTAGGATTCGCAATTTAAGCGAATCATTATTTAGCATTTGATTCCTTTCCATTCACTATATAAAAGTTTACAAAAATAGTGTTAAATGTGGTTCATTATTTGCTACAATTCAATAGGGTACCTTGGGGTAATATCAGACTTGGTAATTATAGAATATGGAAATTACCTTCAAAATTGGCCGCATTTGGCGCGTATGTTGAAGTCATTCTCGCAAATGTTCACGTTTCAAAATTTTACTTATAAAATAAAAGCTGTGAAAAAACACAAAGCGATGATTTATAGGAAAGTTATTTTCATAATATGAAAATTTTAAAACCTCAGTATATAAAAACTGACCCTGAGTGCGTTGCTTATTACCTCGAGTTTTAAAGTTTTACTCGGGAAAATGTTTTTACTAGCATTAACAACTTCTCATAAAACCTACTACAAATAATATTCTAAACTAATCCGAAAAATAATCAACAGTAATAATAATAATGGAAAATAATCAACAGTAATAATAATAATAAACATGCAGTATTGAAAAGTTTTAAATTTTTTAATGAACAATGTAAACTGAACGTGTATCTGTGTACAAGCCTGCACTGTCAGTCGCTCACGACCATGTTGGTAATACGGCATTAAATATAATTATTTTTTAAAATCCAATAAAAATGTTTAAAAATTGGTTCAAAATACTGAAGCCGAAGTTTTGTGATTTCAGGCAACAAACATGTTTTTGAGTTACGTTGATACTTAACGATCATCACATTACTCTAAAATGCACGTTAGGCTACTAAAAATCAGTTCTAAAAATGTCTATAACAAAAAATACATGAAGTTATTGTATATAGAAAAGTAAAGACGTACATGCCCGGTACACTTCAAAAGATTCAATTTGACATGAAACCACTCTTGCAGGAAACAAAATGGACCCGGTGTGGTTCGAATAAAAATTTCGTATATTGGTTTTTAATTTCAATAAACTTCTGTTTTGCGCAGGTAGGAAACATGATTCGGCTGCAGGTGCAGCGAATATTTGCAGTCCCACATTTGTCTTGTGACCTTTAGAAAATGTCGGATATCACAAAAATACAAGCCAAATGCATAAAGTTCGCTTATTAAAATGATTACTAGTTGAGAGGGTAAGTGATTACCAGTGTAATAAAAATAACGTATATGTACTATTCAGCTGAACGGTATGGTTACATCATGTACTTCGCTAGAACCAAACAATAAAATCGTTTCTAATAACTGTATATGGCGGTTTCTAATTTTTACAAACGATTTTTTTCAGCAAATTTAATCGAATTATATTTGTATATATTATATTTATAAACAAATGTTAATCTTACATTACTTGTTTAAAAGAAATGTAGATAATTAAATGTTTGAACAACGTCTGAAGCTTTTTTTCTTTAGACGCAACTAACGAATCAACAGAAATTACACATAATGTTTCCATTCATACAAATAGATGATAACAATTCAATCAACGAATCATTTTGATGTGAATTCGTTTTTAATAAAAAGCAACAGAAAATATTTAAAAGTTGTGATACTAACTTGCACTTAATTATTATGCTGCATGATACCCATCATATATCGCAAACCGTTTCTTGAGTCCGTAACTGTTGTAGAAATTCTTTAATGGTTGTTTCCATTTTGCAAAGTACGTTTTAATTTTATTTCAGATACAAAATTTAATCCCATAAGCTATTCCTAAATGAATGCTATGTACTTGGTATATAAAAGTTGTTATTTGCCATACATATTAAAGCTTTAATTATTTTAAAACGTATTCGCAATACTTTACTGATATTTCGGGTTGATACAATCAGAAGTACGAAAAAACACTCAACATCTATTCTAGTGTATTGTAGTTACTAACATCATTGAGCCGATAAACAACAAATAACCAACCAAATGAGATATTTGTGTTATCTGCCGTGTGTCTATAAATAATTTCCGCAGTTACTTACTCTTATACGAAACAATTAAACAAACAATAAACACCATATCTTGGAGTAAGTATACTCAAACCCCATTTTCATCCACGACTCATTTATTTCGTTTGATCTTAATGAACGGCGAACTGTCAAATGCTAAATGGACGCAGGTGAAAGCCGAAGCAGTACCCTAAGAAACACGCCACAGACCGCGTGCGCTTTTTCCGTCCCCTTCCGCGTCCTATCGTCACATCGTCCTTACTTAGACACAATTTAACACGAACTACACTACCACTAGTTCGGTCGGGAGCATACGTAGAGCTCGTCCCGACTGAGGTAGTGCCCCGCTAGTGGGAGATGTCTGGTTGGGAAAAACTCCGCTAGCCGACGATAGGTCGGCGCTGGATCTCGCCATCCAGCGGGAGTAGATCATCACCATCTCCCGACAAAAAGCATGCACTACAGTTCCGGGACTATTATTTGTTGACACGCCCGGAATCACTAATCAACAAACCAACTTAACGGACGCGGGCCTTGCGGCTAACCTTCAGGCTTTAAGTTAAGTCGTTTAAGTTAAGGTTTTATGTTAAAACGCCCTTCAGGCTTCGAGTTAAGACGATGTAACAGCACCGCGTCACGAAACCATTTTTACATCGCATTTCCCCCCCACTAGGCCGGGCGGCTACCCGACTGCGCGCCGCGCCGTGATGTGGGTCAGCGCGGCGCTCGTTTGACTGCGTGGGCGCGGCAGGCGGCGCCCCCGCGGCGCGGCGGAGGGGCACGGCACAACCCGGCGCCGCGCCGCCGCGTCCTTAACGATGATGATGTCCTCTCGGCGCGGCGGCGGAGGAGGATGGGAGGGGGGGGGCGAATGGGAGTGCGGCAAGCGCGAGTGGGAGGACAATATCCGCTCGAGAGCGCTGCTGGCGGAGCCGCTCTTGTTCAATCGATCAAGTCGAACTGCACGCAGTCAACGCACAAGTGTGCTCATTTGCAGGGCGGATTTGTGGGCTTCTAATTTATGGCGGCTAAAGGGTTCACCAGAATGTTCAAGCAGGAAATTTTTTAAGATTATCTGGTGAATATTCCGTACACAAGGTCAGAATTGAAATAATGACAATTATTTAAAATAATAGCCTTGCTATTAATGCGATTCACATATTCATAAACGTTTGATTTTCATACACTAAATTTTCTACAATATACCATAGGTTGATATTATACAGTTACAAGACCACAGATATGGACGACAGAATGTCAGATAGTATGTCCTCTAAAGTCTCACTTCAAACAAATAATGAAAATTTAAAACAAAATGATATTGGAATGTTGGCCCCTTTAAATGATTTACGACATGGATCCTAACTTCAAAATCCTGAAAAAGCATCCAAAATACATCTACGTAGAAACGAATGCTCCCTCGTAAACAGCTCAAAACAAACTTAGCAACATATAATCACAATTGAATGAAAATACGAATATGACAAGAACCTTCTAATGAGTTCGAAACGGGTCGTTCCAAGGACAAGATAGAAACACGCAAACATTTAGAACAATGGGAAGGATGCAAGGGCAGAGCTCCGGAGGAAAACAAGAAGGGCAACCATGACGCCGACCTCAGCACAGGGCTGGTGGGGAGGGTTGGCAGTCAGTGAGGACAACGGGCGCAGGAAGGGCAGCGGGCGCTGTCAGCAGGGGGCGGGGAGGCGATGGAGGGCGGCGCTATTCCTGGCCCCGCGCCAGGGTCGTCATGGCGACGCGCGCCGCGGCGCAGACAAACGACGAGCGGGCCGCGCATAAGCGGCGGCGGCGCCGGCGTCCCGCCCGGACGGCCCGCCCGCGCCTGCCCGCGCCTCCGGCTGCGCAAACTTCCCCGCAAGTTATTATTTGTTATTATGTTTCAAAGTTCCTCCAGACGCTTTCGAGGAGGAAGCCGCGGGGCCGTGAAGATGTTCGTAATTAAAAATCGGGACGACAGAGCGCGTGGCAGGCGGGGAGGGGGTATTTTCGCGCTGCCAGTCGTTTATATTCATTAGAACGTCCGGGAGCAGCCCGGCGCGAGAAGTTAGCTCAGAAATCAGGCGAGACGAGTGTTAACAGACTATTAATTTTTTGCGCTTGAATTTGGCGTGAAATGAATGAAAAGCCCCTAATGCTGACGAAAGCAGACATGCTAAAACTGGGGAGCCTCTCTTGCTTAAGGGATGAAGATTTAAAAAAAATAAAGAATTAGTTCAAGGAACAATAAATGCTTCACTGAATTTTGGAAGGATATACAATCTCATATTCTACGTAGGCAGTAATAACTCAATACTTTTCATATTAGCATTCGAAAAGTAGAAATGTATCATTTGTTAAAAGTAATTAATGCGTGTTAGATTACTGAATTTTCTGTACATCAGTAGAAATTGCAAATAATATTGTTTTAATAGAAATTTCGTAACTATTTTTAACATCTTGGAGAGACGGGCGATATATTCAATTCTTGGTTTCTGTTTTCAAAAATCAATAATTTATAAAAGTAACATACTGAACACGTTAACTTCGTAAAATAATCTATAGAATGTACCAAAGGCATATATATTAGGTCTATTTAATTTACTAAATATTTGGATTCACTTTATTGGGTAATTAAAAAACTAAAAATAAAACAATTAATTCGTTTGTTGTAAAGATGACTATGACATTGTATATATATATATATATATATATATATATATATATATATATATATATATATATATATATTTATTGATAGCAAAACAACGAATTTCGAAGTAACTTGCGAGTGAATACGAATGTTACACGCGCAAAGCAAAGCCATCATTATAATTTACGAATGTTCCCTACCACGTGGACCCATCCCAAGCAATTCATAAGCCTTTGTAACCCCCCTCTCTCCGGAGAGTGACACAGAAAATGAAACTGGGATTCGTAAAGGCATCGTCTTCTGCGTTCTCCAAATATATCTTTCCAGACGGTTTAAATTAAACTTGGCCGGGACTTTACAACTTCTTCCCACTTGAGCCTGTAATTAAGGAGTAAGTTACGTTTCATGCTCTACCAAAAGGCGGGTTCGCGTACCCCGTGTGTAGAGGCGATTCCTCCCAGAGGAGGGGCGTCAATCCGAGAGACCGTGGAAGTCATATATTAAGTTGAAGAAAATTGGGGAGGGAAAGTAACGTTGGGAAAGGAAAAGTAACGGAGAAGACGATGATGACACTGTAACGTCCATGAAGATAATACGAGCAGTGAATACCAAAAATACAAAATCAACC